TGCTCTCTTTAAGACATATAATGAAAAATGACATACAATAATATACATTAACTTAGTTAAAAGGAAACTCAAATTTCTTAATATTAAAAAAATCAAAATATTTAATAATAATTATGTAATAATTTTTATAAAATTTAAATTTAAATTACACCTTAATGGATGTGATCGAAAGAGACAAAATAAGAATGAATAGACAAGACTGAGACCATTAAGGACTAATAAATTGAGTAAATTATTGGACAGAAAGTCAAGCCTGTGCTGGCCTTCGCCTTGCCTTGCCTTGCCTTGCCTTGCCTTGCATTCATATTCCATATATGCCCATATACCAAAACAGGCAAAATTTAAAATGCCTCTCCACACCGGCATTGATATTAGAGAGTGCGCGGATTACTCTTGATTAATTACTCATGGCCATGGCGGCAACTGGAGTTTGCGCATATGCCACCGGTTACTCGCCGGTGTCCCGCCGGAAGCTGGAGATGACATCATTTAGACCAATATTAATGAAGCAAAGCCGGACTCGGGCATTCGCTGTATCCACGTTGTCGGAGCAGGCATCAACGGTAACTAAACCCAAGTCAACAACGTCAACGCTTCCTCAGAACAGTGGAAAATTTCAGCAACAAGAAGCGACGAAAAATGTTTTTGCCAATATGGACGAATTACCGGAGGAAGACGCTCAAGGATTTCTTTGAGGCCTGCAAAGAGTTTATCGGATCAGACGGCGGTCCGCCTCGCTGGTTCTCTCCTCAGGAGTGCGGCTGCAGGGTACCCGATTCTCCCCTGCTTATCTTTTTTTTCCTCTGTAAGTTTTGTCCTCTCTCTTCTCACTACCATTTTTTTTTTCTCTCTCATTTTAATATATCCTTTTTATATCTTATCCTCCGTCAATCAAAATCAAAGCAGCTAGCTTTGAATTCATGACACATGAAAATGAGTTTTGATTTGCATCAATTAGAAACTAAAATAATTAAATTCTCAGGATTTGATGGCACCGGACTTGGGCTTCTAATGCATTACCGGAAATTAGGAAAGTAATCAAAGATTCTAGCTTATAATTTAATCTAATTTTAGGATATTGTTTTAATTTTGACTTCACACTTGCTGAGCTAATTAATTCTGTGCTTACTAATGTTGTTCTTAAATGAAAGGAAGGATCTTTGACATTTAGTGCTTGCATATTCCAGTCGAGGACAGAACATCTTTTACAGGTATCCAATGATAAGTAGTTGTAGACTACGTACATGTACTTGAAGATGTTTTAATACAAATTTGGGTTTTTAAATTTTCTGTGTTTCTCATAGGATTCAGGCCTTGAAAGCACAATTAGGTGAGAGCACTCCAGGTCACCAAATAGACCAATATATCTTGTTGGGGAATCCCATGGAGGATGCTTTGCCTTAGCTGTTACAAACCGTAACCCTGATATTGATCTCCTACTTATCTTGTCTAACCCAGGCAACGACTAGAATTGTTGTAATCTTTACAAACAGCATTCCTTGATGTCGTAATTATATTTTTGCAATATTAACAAGAGTGCTATTATAATTTCCTTCCTAAAAGGTATAAATGGTGTACGAAAACTGCTCTGCCTTCAATAGATGTATATCCCTCTTTGCGAAAAATGCTTTACTTGTCTTCGTACCAAACCAAAATGGCTGTCATTGTAGATGGCATTCAGTTGGTCACTTTTAATTTTAGTCTTTTTGATCATATGTAATTCATTATTCATGGTTTCAATATTTATATTTACAGCTGCATCCTTTGGCAAGTCGCAACTGAAACCTCTTCTACCTTTATTACAAAGTATTCCAGACGAATTCTTTCTTTTGGCAAAAAATTCCATGTTAAGTTTAACCACAGATTTGCTCCCTTGATCTTCAACGTCTGTTTTCTTGGCTGTTTTTTGCATCTTAAGAGAAATATGCCTTGAACGTAGGTGGCTATGGTGTCTGGATTGTCATATTAATTGCAGTGTCTGGATTGTCAATCATTTCTTTAGGTGGCGATTTGAGAATGCTGAAGGATAACATAGTGAAGTGTATTCCTCTGGGACAATCTGTTGTTGGAAGGCTGTCACAGGATATTGTTGCTGCATCATCTAACCTCTCTGTAAGGTGCAAATCAGCATATACACCTCTTTTCCTGTGTTTTAGAGTGCATTATACATCTTTCTTTAGTTCATATTAAGAAGAAATTCTGATTTTCATTTACATGCTGCAAATTGTGGAAAGATAAATGATGATTTTAAGTCACAGGTTCTGGTTGAAATCTTGCCCAAAGAATTGCTCGAATGGAAGCTACAAATGCGGAAATCTGCTTCTGCATATGCCAACTCACATCTCCATGCCACAAAAGCTGAAGTGCTATTACTTTGCAGGTAACTTGATGATTTCGCTTTCAGTTTTGAAGAGCTATTGATCAATGTTAAATGGCCTTGTCTAAACTTGAGGTTCTCCTCTTTAGCAGCTAATGCACCAAACAGAAAAATGAAGTTAGGAAAACAAAAGTAATGGAAGAAGCAGTCAACTGAAAATGGCAGAATCAAATATTATAAACGAAGAAAGATTGAAAAATATTTCTTCATAACCTAAATGCATAGTGCCTACTTCTCTATTGTTACAATGAGAGAATAGATGTTTACTTGCATTTTTTTTCATCACAGTCCTAAATATGTGCACTGTCACAAAGTATGTTGAAGAGCATCTTGTCATTGAGATGAATGTAATGTAACCTATAATGCCATCTGTTTAGGGCAGCACTGCAACACAGTTGACCTGTCCAAGTTTGAAGTTTATGATCCTCATAATCATCTTTGGTTGAATTAACCATTTGTTTTCTAGTGGAAGAGATCAATTGTTTCCAAGTGAAGAGGAAGTTGAAGGACTACGCCATGGACTCCCAAATTGTGAGATTTGTAAGTTTGGTGAAAGCCACCATTCTCTCTTCCTGTTATGTCTCCCTCAAACTGTATGTCTTGAGAGGAGGAGGGTGTTCTTTTGAGCATTTGAAGTTTCACTTTTTTCCCTTTTATGTCCTAATTTTTTGATGTGGGAGAATGAAGTTTTTTTTTTTTAATTACTTGTTTTAGTTTGAGTTTTATTTGAAATCTAAGTTTTACTTTTAGGAAAGTCATGTGGATAGCATCTGACTTTTAATTAGGATTAGAATTAGTAGCTTATTAGGAGTTCATAGTTTATTAGAAGTTCAAATTAGAATTGAATCAGGATTCTTGGCTATTGTTAGTATATATAGTTATTCTTAGATTTCAAGGACAGTTTTTGTTATGAGATTTTAGTTTGAGAATAAACTTGAGGTTGAAAACCTAAGTTTACTTGGTTCCATCCTTAATTTTATGGAGTTCTTAGTTTCTGTTTGTTCTACCCTTACCTTTTGTGCATCAAATTGGGTATCAGAGCTATGGCTGGTCATGGCAGAGGAAATAAAGGCCAACAAGGAAAATTAACTGAGATGCAATGTATGATTGAGGACTTGTCATGAGCTGTGCAAGCTTTAAGTGGGAGCCTGTATGGAGATGCTGGAAGGTGACCATAACCCTGCAGACACACTGGAAGGTAGTCTGGAGGTTGAGACTGTGGATGGAAGGGATGATAACCGTTTTCATGAAGCTGGAACCGCAAATCAAGTGGTAAGAGGTGG